GTTTGTGGAAAAATAGAATGGGAAAAGAATCTCCCTTGTATATGAGCTCATTAAATCCCCACAACTATACCTGAGATGGGTGCGTTCTTTATCCTTGAGTTTTACACAGGAATCTGAGATTGAAGGTCATGTTACAGATTTGTCCAGGTCACAGAGGTGACACCTGGCAGTTGAGCTGAGCTCTTATCCACTCCCTTATACCTCTATTCTCATGGTATTCACAAAACCAAGAATCCTCTAAATGATCTCTTTTTCTTAAATATATATTTGAGAGTGGAAGGATATTGCTTTATCCATCTGTGCTTTTTTTTGGTCTTGCGTGTGGTTGGCAGATATTCATTGATATTCTGGATGCTAGATGCTTTTTCTAGGCACTGGGGATAGCCTGTAACCATCATGCTGAGGTATGCTGAGGACTGGGAGACCTCAGGAGGGAGGAGGGCTGGAAGCAGATCCCTCCGTTGCAGGTTCCCTCTACCGAGGCTCTGTGGAAGCGTGTGTGTGTGAGTAGGGGGGTGGGGTGGTGGATAGCTAGGAGCAGGTGCCAACTTTGTGAGGTAATTAAAACTTTTATAAGAATCCCTTTATCTTCAGGTTCCTAAGGGAATAAAGTAGCTTTTCTTTGCTTAGCTGTTACCTTTCTCTAGTTAGACCTGATTATTCTTTTATCTAAGAGAGAGGACCTAGGAAGTCCTTCATTCATTTAAACGAACTAGAACATGCAGGAGGTTCAGAAGGCCATGAGTCTTAAATGCTTTGTGACTACAGGTCTCAGACCTGCCTAGTCTCTAAACCAGATTAGCCCCCTTGAGATTGAGATTGTCTCTTTTCCCTACAATTTTTTTCTTTAATTAATACGAGAATAAGATCTTGTGTACTGTTGTGGTGCTGATGTTACTTATATAAATCTGCTGAGGTGAGACTCATTGAGAACAAATACTGTTTCCCAGGACCTTGCTGCCCAGTGTGGACCAGCTGCACCCAGGAGCTTGTTAGAAATGCAGGCCCAAGGAGTCTGAACCTACAGTTTAACAAGGCCCCAGGTGATGCACGTGTACATTTGCCTTTAAGAAGCGGGGCTGGGCCAGTTTTACTATTATCCCCTGTGTGGAGAATGCCTCCTAGGATGTACTTTATTCTGGTCCGTTCTCCCGTCACATGCATATATCAGGGGCAGCTAATGCTTTGCTCCTTGGCCCCACATGCTCCCCTGGCACCCACCAATGCTGGTTAATTAGCTCTTCTATGTAACTAAACCCTCAAAAATATATTCCAGTAAGTTTCTGGATCAAGTTCAACATTTTAAAAAAGCAGCTTTATTAAGGTGCAATTGATAGAATGACATGTATTTAACATGTGTAATTGTTAAGTTTTGACATAGATGTGCATCAGTGAAAAACATTGCCACAATCAAGATAATGAACATCTCCATCACCTCCCCACTAAACATCTTCATTGTGCCCCTTTATAATCCTTCCTATCCCCATCCCAAGCAACCATTCATGTGTTTTCGGTTATAATAAAGTTGGTATTTTCTAGACTTTTATATTAGTGGAAGCATAGAATGGCCTCTTTTGTTTGGCTTGTTTCATTCAGTACTATTGTTGTAGTTGTTGTTTTTAGGTACCTTTGACTCCAACTCAAAGTAATTCAATGTACAACAGAGTGAGACAATGCTCAGTTCTATGCCATCCTCCCAGTTGTTGTGTTTGAGCCTAACACTGTAATTCAGATGCATCAGTCCTTCAGAATTCAGTGTCTTTGTCATGACTTGGGTTGGGCACACCTTAGTCTTCAAAACAACATTTTTTTGCTGCGTATCAGAAATGCATCCCTTTTTATTACTGAGTAGTAAACTGAATATAACAGTTTGTTTCTTAATGTAAAAATTGGAATTTCTCAACAGTTTTTGGCTATTCACAAATTAAGCAACCATGAGTATTGGTATACAAGTCTGTGTATGTCTTTATTTCGCTTGAAAAGTAAATACTTAGGAATGGAATCTCTAGATCATAGGATAACAAATAAAACAAAAAGAAGCTTAGTTGCTGTCAAGTCATGTCAACCCCATGTGTGTCAGGGTAGACTTGTGCTCCATTGTGCCCCGCAAGATGGTGCCGTGGGCTTCCTGGCCCATGGGAGCAAGGTGGTTACAGTGTGTGTGCCAACCCCATGAAATGAGAGAGCTGGTTGGGTGGGATGCCTCCAGGTACTATCAGTGACACCTAAAGAGCTTCGTAGCACTTGCCCATGCAGGGGAAAGGCCAGGACATAGAGAGATGTGCCTTGATGTGTTCTTTGGATTAATCATTCGGCTGCTATATTTTATTACTTACTATACAGAAATTGTATGTCTGTTTCCTTCAAAACTGAGCTAAAGATATTGAACTCAGTGTAGAGTACACACTGAAGATATTTGAATAAATAATTACAATGTAAAATCTCTTAAAGGTTTTTTTGTGTCCAAGAGAATTCCTTAAAACCTTTCAAATCTCATCAATCTAAGGAGACACCTTATTTATATGGAGTCTTGGGGTGATGCTGTGGGAGAAAGCCCTGGACTGCGAGGTCAGTTTGAACCACCAGTTTGGAAGTTCAAACTCACCAGCCACTCCTTGTAAACCTTGTACAGGTTGCTATGAGTCAGAATCAACTCAACAGCACTTAACAACTTACTTGTATTTTCACAGTTTGTATTTTTCTACAATTGACATGTTAAATTTCCATGTTGTTAATTAAATGGAGTCCTAGTGTGACACTGTGGGTTAGTGCACTGGGCTGCAAAATCAGTTTGAACTGCAAGGTTACCAGCTGCTCCTTGGAAACCCTATTCAAGATCGCTAGGGTCAGAACCAACTCTACAGCACTTAACAACAACAACAACTAAGTGAAGGACCCCTGATGTGGCAGTGGGCTAAACTACCAAATCAAAAGGTTGGTCATTAGAACCCACCAGCTGCTCCTCCAGAAAAAAGATGAGGCATTTTGCTTCTGGAAAGATTTCTAGTCTCAGAAATCCTGTGGAGTATTTCTGCTCTGTCCTGTAGGGTCTCTGTGAGTCTGAATTGACTTACTTGATGGCAGTACATTAATTAACGGAATCTCTAGATATGATTAAAAAAGTTGGTGGAAAAAATAAAACAAAAACATAATGGAATTTTTCCACAAACCTTTTGAAGCCCCCTCGTATATTATATAGTTTTGAAATTAGCATTTGTTTTTCAGGAATAGTTTGTAAATGTTCTATTTGCTGCCTTACACTTTTATAGAGGAACTTACCTTTCCTAACAGAAGTGTTGTTCCTTGTGGAAGAGGTGGGGAGGAGGCAGTGGGAGGAAGTAAGTCAGCTTTCTTCTGTTTTACACCTTGAACAGATGAACCATTCTGTGGCAATCTGAAAACCACTGCTATTAACGCATAGTAAATACTCTAATTTCTTCTTTCTTATTTTATGTTTTTTACTGCATCTTCTCTATCCTCCTCTACCTAATATATTAAAAAAAAACCTATACTAATGAATATGAGCATATTTATAGGACAGAAGGTACCTTTTAAATGGGTTATCTTCCTGCCTTTCTGAATCATGATGGTCCCAAGAATCTGAGACAAGTATTAGTACACTTTGGATGGAAAGCATTTTTTCCTTACACACTGCAGTCTTTTCTCTTTCTGCATGTAGTTGAAGTGAAGCACAGAGGGTTTTGCTCCCTGTGATCTTGGGTGGGATAAAACATCATCTATGTTCTTTAGTTTTCTCTTCTGTGAAACTGAGTAGGAATGCTGAATTTATCTCACAGGACAGTTTGTAACACATCCAAGCATATAAATAAACCTATTAAGACATCCAGGGCCTGGCGATAGGGGAGCGCCACTGATGAACACAGTGAGAAATCTTTGTTCCCAAGTGGTTAGGGTGATTGCTGTCTTGTGGCAGAGAGTGAACTCAAGTCTGATGGTCCTTGAAGGATAGCTTCAGCTTCCCTGAAAGTGCAGTGAGTGAGGACCATGCCATCCTATGGAGGACTGAGGACATTAGTCACTCTGATCATTTCTGGTTGGTCTTAATTCTCTCTTGACCTTGTCTAAGCAAGGGTGGATGGTACATGGTCCAAGCCCTTCTAGATGCACAGTAGAGAAGTTAATCGATTTCGTACGTAGAGGCTTCAGAAAGTTTGTGGAAAAATGAAATGAAAAGATAATGGAATTTTTCTAGGAGCTTTTTGAAGCTCCTTTGTTCAATAAGTGCCTTGGGATACTGGGGCTCCGTTCTCTCCTGGGTAAGTTGAGTAGGACAGCTAGACCAACAAGGAGACGACTTAGGAACCTTGAGGGCCCATCACTTGGTGGAATTTCACAGTTGCACGGACCCCAGCCTTCTCTGATCCAAGGTCAGACATGATTCCAGTCAGTGGTAGAGTTGGCAGCAGACCCTAGTTCTCATCGGTACAGCACCATGTTCCTTAAGGGGAGCCTTCCCAGGTGAAGGTGCCTGCTCTCTTTGAGGATCAGGCTGCAGTGACTTGCTTCGTCTTCCGGAGCTGCCACTGGTACACATCCTTTTCTTCTGTGGCCTCCGTTCCACTCCTACCTTGACAGCATCTGTGCTCCGTTTTCCATCAGGCCTCCTGGGCAGGAAGCCCCGTACTGGGCCCTTCCCAATGTGGCCTCCTTCAGGAAGTGGATTTACCAGGACTGGAGAGTGAACCGGTGTGGTGATTCCAGGCAAGGGAACCCATTTATCATACTTACTATATTGGCCTTGGAGTACTGGTATGGCACTGGATTAATGCGCTGGACTACAAAATTGGTTTGAACCACAAGGTCGGCGGATTAAGCTCACCAACCACTCCTTGGAAACCCCATACAGAATTGCTGTGGGTCAGAACCGACTCCACAGCACTTAACAACATATTGGCCATGGCCCCTTTGCATGTGACTGTCTAAGAGAGATGAGTTGGAGCGCCCACCTAACACTCTGGAAAACTCTGTTTGTGTTGCAGGCTCTCCTGGCAGGCATGAGGAACCGGGAGAACAACTCGCCCTACCTGGGGAATGGAGAACAGGCCGGCAGAGGCAAGACTGTGGGCTCTGTGTGGCTGGGTGAGGAGGACTCCTGTAATGATGTGACCACCCCTTCCTATAAGAAGCCTCTGTATAGCATCTCGCACAAGATCATGGAGAAGAAGAACCCTCCCGTGGGGGACCTGCTCAGCACCTATGAGCTCTTCGAGAAGGTGAATGCCAACAATAGCCCCTCCCCACTGCGGCTCTTGAATGAGCCACAGAAGCGGGATGGTGGCATTGTAGCAGCAACCACCGACGGTGACCCCAACATCTACTTTCTGATCCAGAAGATGTTCTACATGCTCAACACCCTCAACTCCAACATGTCCCAGCTACACAGCAAGATGGACTTGCTCTCCCTGGAGGTGAATCGTGTCAAGAAACAGGTGAGCCCCACTGAGATGGTGGCTAAGTTCCAGCCTCCCCCCGAGTACCAGCTCACGGCTGCCGAGCTCAAGCAGATCGTGGACCAGAGCCTGTCGGGTGGAGACCTGGCTTGCCGTCTTCTAGTGCAGCTCTTCCCGGAGCTCTTCAGTGACGTGGACTACTCCCGAGGCTGCAGTGCCTGCGGCTTCGCCGCCAAGCGGAAGTTGGAATCACTGCATCTGCAGCTCATTCGCAACTATGTCGAGGTCTACTACCCCTCGGTGAAGGACACGGCTGTGTGGCAGGCTGAGTGCTTGCCCCAGCTGAACGACTTCTTCAGCCGCTTTTGGGCTCAGCGGGAAATGGAGGACAGCCAGCCGGCGGGTCAGGTTTCCAGCTTCTTTGAGGCTGAGCAGGTGGACACCAGCCACTTCCTGGACAACAAAGACCAGGAGGAGGCGCTGTCTCTAGACCGGAGCAGCACCATTGCCTCAGACCATGTGGTGGACACGCAGGACCTCACCGAGTTCCTGGATGAAGCCTCGTCGCCTGGCGAGTTTGCTGTCTTCCTTCTACATCGGCTTTTCCCCGAGCTCTTTGACCACCGGAAGCTAGGAGAGCAGTACAGCTGCTACGGGGATGGCGGCAAGCAGGAGCTCGACCAGCAGCGGCTGCAGATCATCCGCAACTACACGGAGATCTACTTCCCTGACATGCAGGAGGAGGAGGCCTGGCTGCAGCAGTGTGCCCAGCGCATCAACGATGAGCTCGAGGGCCTGGGGCTGGACGGGGGCAGCGAGGGCGAGCCCCCGCGGGACGACTGCTACGACTCCTCAAGCCTGCCGGATGACATCTCCGTGGTCAAGGTGGAAGACAGCTTCGAGGGCGAGCGTCCCGGTCGGCGCTCCAAGAAGATCTGGCTGGTGCCCATCGACTTCGACAAGCTGGACATCCCGCAGCCAGACTTCGAGGTGCCCGGCGCCGACTGTCTGCTCAGCAAGGAGCAGCTGCGCAGCATCTACGAGAGCAGCCTGTCCATTGGCAACTTCGCCTCCCGCTTGCTCGTGCACCTCTTCCCTGAGCTCTTCACCCACGAGAACCTGCGCAAGCAGTACAACTGCAGCGGCTCCCTGGGCAAGAAGCAGCTGGACCCGGCCCGCATCAAGCTCATTCGCCACTACGTGCAGTTGCTCTATCCACGGGCCAAAAACGACCGCGTCTGGACCCTGGAGTTTGTAGGCAAACTGGACGAGCGATGCCGGCGCCGGGACACGGAGCAGCGGCGCTCCTACCAGCAGCAGCGCAAGGTCCATGTTCCCGGCCCCGAATGCAGGGACCTCGCAAGCTATTCCATTAACTCCGAGCGCTTCAGAGAGGAGTTCGAAGGGCCCCCGCTGCCCCCTGAGAGAAGCAGCAAGGACTTCTGCAAGATCCCCTTGGACGAGCTGGTTGTCCCCTCTCCCGACTTCCCGGTGCCTTCTCCATACCTGCTGACAGACAAGGAGGTGAGGGAGATAGTGCAGCAGAGCCTCTCCGTGGGCAACTTTGCCGCGCGTCTGCTCGTCAGGCTCTTCCCTGAACTCTTCACTGCTGAGAACCTCCGGCTGCAGTACAACCACTCCGGGGCGTGCAACAAGAAGCAGCTGGATCCCACACGGCTGCGGCTCATTCGTCACTACGTGGAGGCGGTCTACCCCGTAGAGAAGATGGAGGAGGTGTGGCACTATGAATGTATCCCGAGCATCGATGAGCGGTGTCGCCGTCCCAACAGGAAGAAATGCGACATCCTGAAGAAAGCTAAGAAAGTGGAGAAGTGATACCTATGGAGCACCATAGAATGAGAGATGGCCACCCTGGGGACTAAGAATTCATTCCCAGCTCGTGATTGGTATCCACAGACCGCACCTTAAGGCAGTGGGGAGTGGCTTACATTTGCACACGTAAATACCCACAAACCGTACTGATGACTTTCTCCAAAGCTCAGCCAGTTTGGGAAGAACAGAGCTGTGAGAGCAAAGTGGTATGGGTCCTCTCCCTGGCCATGCCTTCCATCCCCATATGATCCAAAAGCAAATCCTGCAACTCTCTTGTTCTCTTCCCACATTTTACAACTTCCATTTTTATAATTTTTTTTTTTAATTAAAAAGGGATCCTTTAAAAATTTATTGGGCTCTCTTGGGGCCATTTTACTTAGAAAAAATCTTTTAAATATTTGAGATGAAGTACTGTAAGATGATTTCCAATGGTAGGATTTTTTTTTTAAGGATGGTTTCAGATTTATGAAATATTTGAAAGTATCATGTGCACGCATGATCATAGCTTCAGGGTTGGCGTAGACTGATTTTACTGACCTTGTCTTTTACATCTGATTTTGGAAGAGTCAAGATATGTTAGAGGGGCGGAGACTGTGTGATATGTTTGCCACCCCCCTCCTTAGCTTCTCTTCACGGTGATGCCGTGAAAGGCATCAGTGGGGTTTGGCCTGTGCATAGTCGCTGTGTGGGTAGAGTGCTGTGCTAACTCCTGTAGACAAGAACACTGGATGATGATATGAATGTAGGTAGACATGGAGACTCATGTTCACAATGTCTGCTCCTGAGCTGTGTCCTTCCACTGCCCCCGTGCCCTCTCCCTGTGTGGATGCTGGAGGGAGGGCTAGCTAGACACATGGACCTGGCAAACATTGCATGTGGGTATTTGACTTCTTATTTTTTATAAGGCTGGGCCCCTTTGGGCTTGCCAGAAAATGTTTACTTTCCATGTGTGTATTTATAGTGTAAAATCCAGGTTCTGGAGCTCTGTGGTGAGGAAACCCCTCCTCAGTGGTAGCTTCTCTGGTCAGTAGCACATCCTGATTTCTTGGCGGGCCCAGGCTTGGGGTTTTCATTGGGGATTGTTGACATTGGAAGGACATGTAGGTCCTTTCAGATGAGGCTCTCATGACGCTTCCCAAGGTTCGCTCGGCATGTTCCTCTCTGGTCCTGTCTGGCACATCCCTGACCTGGGGGTGAGCGTCTCTCCTACTGCTCAGGACAGTCACTCCTCCAGGCCAGCAGCATGCTCTCAAAGAGCACCAACCAGAGATGCCCTAACAGGTCAGGTCCTTAAAGAGACTTGTACCCGTCTCACAGATGGGGCCACGTGCCTCACAGGGAAAGGAAACACTCTCACTTAAACTGAATACGTCCTGCCAGAAACCTGGACAAAACTAACTGAGTCATAATCATACAGGGTAGCCCTAAAATTCATGTTTAGTAACCTAATGGCTTCATGTTCGCTACCTTAGAATGCACAAGTAATAGAAACACTGAATTTTTTTTTTACAGCCGATAAGGACCTCATTCCTACCAGTTGGGTGACATAATTTTGTCTCTTGCATCCAAATGAATTTTGTAGAAAAAAATATGATAAACGACTTTGAACCATGCCAAGTTCCTGATCTAACTTTAATGAATTTACTTTCAAATGTCTTTTACAGATTATTTCTATTGAAACTGTAAGCCTAAGTTATTGAAATTTAGAACTGCACAGGGACTTAATGACTCTCTGTCTCACACTTCCTCACATGCACACTCATTTTTCCTTACTAGAGAACCTTAAGTGAGATGAAGGGGACCAACATGAATAACAAGCTCAATTCTGTGCCTGGAAAGGAGGGACTGGGGCAATAGGAGACTCACTGTCGTCCTCCCCCGCCTCCGCCCCTCGCCCTAATGTGGGCCTTCCTCTATGCCTTCGTCTCTCCACCACACACATGCATGCACATGTGTGTGTATACACACACACACCCCTACCCAAAGATGGCGGTGGCACTCTCACCCTCTGGCCCCCACTGGTCAGGGGTGCCCTGGGAGGATTCCAAGCCATGTAAAAATTGCCCTGCTTTCCAGAGGTGGAATATGAACCTGCAACTTCGAAGCACAATCATTAATTCATGATAATAATAAATCTACCCTTGTTTAGAGAAATCAGCAGGTTCTAGGAATAATGTCTCGTCGTAACCTAAAAAATGTTACTTTTTCTGAAGCCTTATTTTGGTTGCTTCCTTAATACCCTTTCCTTGTAGGGCTTCTTCCTCCAAACCACTAGAGTCCCTTTATAACGGAGAGCGTTAGACACGCTCTGGGAGCTGTCTTGTCCCTCCGATTCCTGCTAGGGAAATGCCTTCAGGTCTGGGTGCTGTCTGTGTGGGGGCCTCAGCTTTCCCTCCATACAGGTGGATTCCTCTGGTAGGTTTGTGGGTTTTTTTAATGAAGCAATAGGAATAGAAGATCCTTATTGTGTTTAAAATTCAATGTATTCCATAAAATCTGTTGGCCAGTACCACCCCACTCCCATCTAAATTCTTTGATTTTTTTACTTGTTTTTTTTTGGTCATGTATCCCAAGTACTGACAGATTAGCACAGATGCATTCTGGTGTTTAAGCAAAACAGAAGATCACAGTGGGTGGCAGTGCTCATCAGTGGGTGACAGTGCTCATCATTTCCTGTTAGTAAGTTTTAAAAGAATGTATGAAGATAGTCATGAATGTACAAAGTGGTCTAGCCCTGCTTCAGTTCACTTTGGCTGTGTCTACATGACAGCAGGCGTGTGACAGGGAATAGTTGTGTCTAGTGTCATGGTGCTAGTGTGTCCCTTCTGACCCCTTCAGTGTTGGCCCCACACCTGCCTTTCCTTTTGAGTTTGGGGGGAGGGACATCACAGCAGCATCAGCTGACCAATAGGATCTACTCAGTGGTGAACAGATTAGCTGTTTAAATGGTAAGTTACTGGCCTGACCACACCGCAGCATGGCCATTTGGATGCTGAAAAGATGACCTCTGTTTCCACCTCCTACCACCCCCAGGCCCAAACACTTGCTTTTTATCTGAGAGTTTGCTGTTCACATTGGACGTCACTGAACTCTTGCCTTGCCTGGCTGTGTAGATAACACTGAGATGGGACCCAGGGACTAGGACTGCTACTTGGAGATACTTGCCTCGTGTAGATCCAGCCTTACTGTTTTCTGACATCCTAGTAATAGCAGACCCTGCACAAAGTGGATATCAGAGTAAATACTGTGATGAGACAAAATAATGAGAATAGTTTTACCAAAGATAATGAAATATCATGTAATGTCTGCATTTGATCATTGATTTGAGTGCTTAGAAAACTGAATGTAACAAAAACCCAGGACTTTTTTGGAAATTGTATGCTCTCTAGCAACTTTGTGAATTTTTATACAAGCACTGTTTTATGAGTTATATAAAACGTTATAAAAATAGAACAAATATGGTCTCGTCACATCTTATTTTCTCCTGTCTTGGACTTGTCTTTCCATGGGGGCTTCCAGGTGAGGACGGGAAAACCCTAGGGAATGCAACCCTTTGGACTCCCACACTCTCAGTGATGGGGCTACAAGTTCCGGGATGTCAGTTTGGGTACAGCTGAAAGACTTGAGAATTTGACAAATAAATCCATCCCTACTGCCTGTCCTCCTAGACCAGGTTGTAGTCACACAGTGGAAGGCTCCTTGGACTTTTTCTTACCTTTACCTGGCTGGTATCAGACCAGCCAAGCTTCTAGAGCTTTTGGTTTATTGTAACCTCTTGTTTTCACTTTAGATCAAAATGGGATTTAGTTTCTCAAAGTTAATTATTAGCTGATATTTGAACAGGACTCCTGGTGTGGTGCTGTAAGATCAGCACTGGACTGTGAACCACAAGGCTGGCAGTTCAAACCCACCAACTGCTCCTCAGGAACCCTATACAGAACCAACTCGATAGCGTTTAACAATTTATGAACCAACAGGCTAACATATCAACGAATATATCAGCTATTAGATAAATGCATATATTAGCTAATAACAAAGGATGTATGTTTTTTTCTGGTGAATTATGAATAACAATATTCCAGAATAAAAATAATTTCTTAAACTGATAGAAAAAGCTTTCCTTTGGCCTAGGAGTCACAAGACATAAAAAAAAGTAGTGGCTCACGAGTGGAACACTTTTCCTACGGTGAGTGTTGCTTATTTCAGATTTGCTAGACCTGATATAAAATCTGAACAGCTGACATCTCTGCTGAACTTTGGCAGGTGAGCACTGGTCAGAGCTTGGAGCCCCAAACTCTTAACTACTAGTGAAAGAAAGGTTAAATGTTTTAGCTCCTGCTGCCTGCAAGTAGCTTTTCAGCCTAAAAGAAAATTGTGAGAGTTTTACAATATATGAAGACTGATTCGTCATATCTAGTTCTAGAACACCATGTTAATTAGCATTAGACTGCTGAGACAGTGGACTCTCAAGATAAATCCATGGGGGTATGCACATTCATCACCTGTTGCCTGTAATGACATTTAACGTCTACTCTGTGGGGACCCTGTGCCAGGAACGTAATACTAAGAACAACTACCTGGATGATGTAATGTCCTCAAAAGCCCAATGTGGTAAATTTTGTAATTAGCCTTAACAATTGAAAAAAGCCAAAGTCCCAAAACAGTAAATAACTTGTTCAGGGACAGAGAAGGGTGTATATATGATCTTATTAATTATTATAAAAACTCAGCATTGTGGTAAGGAAGTTAAGAGAAGTAGATTTCTTATCCAAGTTCACATTATTGGCAATGGCAGTGCTGTTCCTTCTTTCCACCACACCACACTATCACAGGAGCTAAACAGTGCCCACACCTCAAAATGGAAAGATTCAGAAATCCAAAACAATTCTGTTTGAGTCGGGGTGTCCTCTCACCTACATACACCCTTTTTAGCTCCAGTTTGCTCTTTGATACGGGTATGCTAGTTTTAGAACTACCATAGATGAAGCAACTGTGGACAGACATGTTCTAGTAATAATGAGTGGGTACCTTTTTTTGAGATTGTGAAAGTAACTGCTCTGGGTCGAGTTCTCTAGCAACAAAGCCCGAGATGGGTTTATTGAGGGAGTGCGCTCAGGAGACGGGGCAGGCAGACACCACTGGGC